AGAAAAAAACTGTAATTTTCTATAAATAGAAATCTGAATTTGAACGAATGAATAAGTCTTGGTAAGCACTGATTTCTTTTATTGAGAAATGCTGGATTTGGAGGGCCTGTGTCTGACATCAACACTGTAGATTTAATCAGGTGGGCGGGTGTATGACTTGCAAACAAGTATAGACTTTTTGTTGGCTTTAATTGATAGAGGAGTAGAGAGCACACAGGAAAGTGCAGAGAAAGCAAAGTGGAATGACACAGTGGAAATTGTCCAGGCAGGATGTTTGGGCACACTAATGACGCTGTTTTGACACCGTCTTTTGGCATCTTAGTCACCTGATCAACCAAGTGAGCACTTTTTACGTGAAACTTCAGCAGCCTTTTTACTGATTTCAGACTTTTTGTACTATACGATCATTTTTGAATTGCATGTGTTGTTTCCCTACACATCATCTCTGATGTTGCTCAGCATGTAGCCCAGATGTTTGTGCTTGGATAGAATGTGTCTTAAGTCGGAAAGCACTCCTTAGAAATGAAACTAAAGCATCAAAAGGAGGAACTGGAGCTGTCATACCACCAGTGTATTTATCACAAGCCAAGCTTCCTCTCCCAGGAAAGTCCTTTCCTTCCCTTCTGAAAAGTTCCCAAACTGTGCTGCCAAGTCGCGGCACGCTTTTTCTACACACCAGCCTCTCTTTGGAAGTGTGTGAGTCAGCTGTGGAATCCACTTAACAAAATTCTCAGCACATTTTAATGACTCCCAGTAACTTCACAGTATTTATGACTGTGAAAATTCTCCCGTTTACAGGCGTCAATTTGCAACTTTTGTTCTCCAGTTACTTTGGAAATGAGAACAAGCTGTACCTCTGAATCAGAAAGTGTGTAAAGGATTAGTGGCCATAAGTCTTATTAGCCTGAGAAAGAGGAGGAGGAAGGGGGTTAGGGAGCATGCATCCATTTTGTGACTGATGAACACGGCCCTTTGAAGAGCATTGAGAAGGCCTATTGTAAAAGACCATTGTCTGGCTGCTTGCTGCCACGGTAACACTCTCACACTGGCAGCAGGACTGAAATGCTGCAGTCAGAAGTGACAAATGCTTTGCCAGGAGAGAAAAAAGTGAGAAAAGAAAGGCTTCATTTTTACCTTGACTCCGCAGAGCGGATTGAAATTCAATTTGGAGGATGTTTCACAAGACAGCAGCTTTGTTCTCAGAGAAAATACCCACTTATAGGAGTCAGCGAAGACATTTGCAAGCAGTTTCGTTTACAGAGCATCTAACATGCAGAAAGCAGAGCCTTATGTTGTTGCTTAGGTTGATAAAGAGGACTGGTGACGGCTGGAATTCCTTCCTGGCCGTTTTCCTTTCCTGACCTTTTTTGCCCTGCATTGTTTCTCCGTGCTCGCTCCGTTGTCTCGTTTGTATATCCTTTCCGTGCCAAGTGTAAAATCAACAACTGGGGACACAGGAGCCTTCATGTGGTGGAGCAGCTAATATTGCAACTTCAAGTTTGGAAACAAAGTATTTTTAGACTTTCGGGGCAAAGTTTTCCCCTTTTTTGGATTAAACTCTTACCCTGTTGACTTTCTCCGTGTGTAGGAATGTGCCTGTGTTATTTATTTCGAGGCTGGGGTTGAGACGGATTGGTGAAAGTGGGGATTGCACTGATGGGAAAATGCACCAGAAAAAGGCGACTTTTAGGGATCGTGTGTGCCCATCAGTGCGTGAGCTTCCTTCTTTGTATCAGCTCTTCACAAGCACGCCTCCCAAACGTTGCAGTTTAATTCCAGCTAACTTGGCATTTAATTTATTGTTGTTGAAAATACTGAACAGGTTATCCAAATAGCATCAAGCCTGGCTTTGTGCAGAGTTCTGATGAGCTGGCAGTCAGACTCGCTCAAGCAGGATTAAGATGGAATGTTTGGCAGAGCTGGTGATGGCCGCTGACGTATCTTTTACTCGTTTCTAAAGTGCAAAGCTGTCGTTTCCCATTCTGCTTTCGATAAAGAATCGTTTTGGCCTGTTTTCTGTGGTTTGGATAACAATGATAGCCCTCTGCCACACAAGATTACAGCATGTCGGCGCAAGCAGGCAGGCGGTATCTGCACGCTACCAACTTGCAGAATTTCCTGAGAGCTGTTTCGCTTCATCTGTACAGCACTTGCAGAACTGTAAATGTTTCTCTTTTTTTTCTCCCCACCTGCAGTTTATACAGCAGCAATGTCTGGAAAATCAGATGGGAAAAAGAAGTGGGCAGCGGTCAGGGATCGCCTGGGTTCCTCGCAGGACTCTGACACTCAGCAGGAAGCCAACCTGGAGAATTCTGATCCAGAGCTGTGCATCAGACTGCTCCAAGTCCCCACTGTCGTCAACTACTCTGGGCTGAAGCGCCGCCTGGAAGGCAGCGATCAGACATGGATGGTGCAGTTCCTGGAGTTAAGCGGGCTGGATCTCCTCCTGGAGGCCCTGGACCGTCTCTCCGGGCGCGGATGCTCTCGCATTGCAGATGCTCTCCTGCAGCTCACCTGCGTCAGCTGCGTCCGAGCAGTGATGAACTCGACGGCGGGGATTCACTTCATCATAGAAAACGAGGGATACATTCGGAAGCTCTCCCAAGGTTGACCACAAATGCGCTTTCCCAGTGTCGTGTTGATGCCTCTGCTCAGTCTCACATGGAAATAAACGTTCCAGATATTTCATTGTTAAAAGTTCTTTCAAATAAAGCCGTCTCCTCTTTAATGGCAGGAGATTTGACCTTTTTTTTTTATGTAACATTTGTAATATTGTGTTAAAGTGGTCATAGCTCACATGATTAAAGGGTTCTCTGTGACTCATTCTGTCAAGCTGAATTTTCCAGGCATGTCCTCAGCTTTAACATGCAGACATGAGTCATTAAGGGTCGCTTCGGGACATCCCTGAATTTGTAATGTGACAGTGTGCTGTGAATATTGGATTTCCCCACCTACAGACACATATTTATCTACAGTACAGCAACAGATCTTTAGAGGGCAAAGTTCAAGTAGTGTTGCCTCAAAGACGGCAAAACAATCCTTTTACTTTAGGTCTGGACACAAAGCGGAAAGAGTAGACACGGGGGAATTATTTTAAGGAAAACTGATATGGAAAATAGGAGAATTCATCCTTTGCTGATGTGTGCAATCATTATGCTACACAGCGTTGGACACCTCCAACACCATGGTGAAGAAGCAGGTGTTTGAGCTTCTTGCAGCCCTCAGCATGTTCTCTCTGGACGGTCATCGGCTGGCACTTGACGCCCTGGAACATTACAAGGCAAGCGGATTAAACCTGTAGAAAAGTTAGCAGAGCTCCATTCTGACTTTCCTCTCACATCTCAAATGTGGTTTCTCCTTCAGGGCGTAAAGACGCAGCAGTATCGCTTCAGCGTGATTATGAACGAGCTCCAGGCCACAGATAACGTCCCTTACATGGTCACGCTCCTCAGTGTCATCAACGCTCTCATCTTCGGGACAGAGGACCTCAGGCAGCGGGATAGGATGAGAAAGGAGTTCATCGGTAGGTTTGGCTGCTCCTCAACAGTTAATTCCTGTTATAGGAAAAGGTGACGCTGTGGGTAAACTGTTAGCTCAAAGTGAGTACAAAGGGGGAAAGCAGGCCATGGGCAGGAGCGCTCATACGAATATATCTGTCACTGGGTCTGACTAAGAATAGGTCTCCTGGCCTCATTCTCACTTTTACAAAATGCCTGAGAATTCAAAAAAAATTCAAGCCTTTATTAGATGGTGTAATTCATTCATTTTGCACCACAAATCAGCAGAAATGAAAATATCACCACTCTCAGAATAATTGGGCAGCATTAAACCTTGAATGCAGAGTAGGCCGTTTCCTCTGAGGGCCACTAGTGTATATTCTGTGCACAGCAAAATCTCCAGTGTTAAATTAACACTAGAGAGTGTCTGTATGGGTCCACACCTCTCAGTGTTAAATACAACACTGTTGAGTGTTAAATTAACACTTTTGACAGTGTTATATGTTTAAAAGTAACCTAGTCAGTTTTTCAGATCAACAATGGCTAACACTGAGCAGTGCTGGTTTTCTAACACTGGAAAATAACAAAATGTTAGAAATAATCCAGTGTTAGAAGATCAGCACTGCTCAGTGTTAGTCTTTGTTAATCTGCAAAACTGACTAAGTTACTTTTAAACATACAACACTGTCAAAAGTGTTAATTTAACACTCAGAGGTGTGGACCCATACAGACACTCTCCAGTGTTCATTTAACACTGGAGATTTTGCTGTGTGCAAACACTGCTTTAACCTTTGACTAAGTTAACAGTTATTTTAAATGAGGAACAAGTGTTAACCGCCAAGCTTCCTGAAGAGCACCACATTCATGATGGTTTGAGGAATATCCCATAGCTTCTCTCCCCCAGCATATTAGTTTTGGACCAATCAGCCACCTGATTGGTCCAATTGGTTTGGACCAATCAGCCACCTGATTGGCCACGCCTCCTTTCTGATTGTTCACCCGTGACTTCCTGGAATTTCCCCCCAAACTAACATATAGTCCTGTGTGGCGGCAGGCGACACTGTTTGTAAGACATTTCATGATTTCTTGTTGTTTTACTCGGAGCTGTGTCATTTTGTGTTATTTTGCTTGCAGGGCTTCAGTTACTTGATGTTCTGCCAAAGCTGAGGTGAGCCATCCTTCTGGTGTTCACATTTGATTATTTTTTTCAGCCTCTTAATTTCCGCAATAAAGTCGCTGAGGTACATTTTTAAAGGTTCCTTTTTAAAAGCTATAATCACCGCAAGTGAAATGGTGCTTTTAGAAAAATAGTTTTGTGATGTATTTCCATTAATGGCATAAATTGGATCAAAGGTCCTTATCAGAACTTTTTAAGGAAAAAACACCGAAAATGGGACTGAACTAAACTATGAACCGAGCTATGACTGTAATAGGCGTGTGTGCGTTTGCAGGGAGCAGGAGGATGAAGACTTGATTATTCAGTGCGAAGCTTTTGAAGAGGCGATGGCTGAAGATGAGGAAGAGCTCCTGCGAGTGTATGGGGGCATTGATATGAGTAATCACCTGGAGGTTTTTACTACACTTTTTAACAAGGTGAGAAAAGCCTATTGAAATGGCTCTGTCAACTCCTAATAAAAAATATAGTCCATCAAGCAGAACACTGCATGAATGCGGCTTTTCTCTCAGAAGTGTCACAGTAAAGAGAGGGATCTGTTAATAGCATACAGATTAAAATACCTTATTATCCTTGTGCAAATTATCAAGCTTAATGTTCTTGTGTTGTTTGTGTGCAGGTGAGCAGCTCCCCAGCCTCTCTCCAGCTGTTGTCCATCCTGCAGACGTTGCTGGTGCTGGGACCAGGGCGCCCTGACATCTGGCTGGCTCTGGAGGCCATCACTAACAGAGCCATACTGCTCGCCCAGGACTGTGAGTCAGCACAGCAGCAACAATGCTTTCACTCCAGATCAACACTTTAAAGATGGTGAAGACGAGTGATTATTCAGGCATATAGAGCGCCTTGAGATGAAAGGCAGGGAGCCGGTGTTAGGATGGCTGAAAGCTTCTGTTGTAGAGTGGGAAGCTAATTCACATCGTGTGTGTTTTCTGGTTTTGTGCTGCAGCTCAGATGGAGTCCTGTGAGAAGATCATGCAGCGGCTGATGGTTTTTAAAAGAAAAAGCTGCGACGATCGGCACGAGGTGGACGGACTGCGGGTCAAAGTGGATAAGGCTGTGCAGACGGAGCTGGATCACCCGTACACGGAGAAGCCAAACAAAAGCACACCGTCCCCTAAAAGGCCACTGTGTACCTCTGTTCCACCGCCACCCCCACCACCCCCTCTACCGCCCTCTAACCAGTGCCCGCCACCGCCGCCACCGCCGCCACCTCCTCCACCGCTACCTGGAGGGTTTGCTGGTCCCCCGCCACCTCCTCCATTGCCTGGAATGGCTCCCCCACCACCACCTCCTCTGCCCTTTCTGCCCTTTGGACCAGGGGTCCCCCCTCCTCCCCCGCCCTTACCAGGGATGGGTGGTGGGCCACCACCGCCTCCACCTTTACCCGGCATGCCACCACCACCTCCACCTTTACCCGGCATGCCACCTCCACCTCCAACAGGCATGATTGTGGCCCAGAGTAGCCAGGCCCTGGGCTGCAGCGCGCCCTCAAAGACAAGCCGCTGTCCCACTCTGAGGATGAAGAAGCTCAACTGGCAGAAACTTCGCACTGTTACTGGTAAGTGGATAAAACCTCCATTTTTTAAAATTGTTTTATTTTAAGTTTAATAACTGTCAAATCTCATACTAATTCTTCTGTTGCATAAACCTGTATTATCAGCTCATACAGTATAGGTCCCACATTTTTAAATAGCAATAATTATGAGGAATTTAAGCAAAGGCATTGGCTGCTGCCATCTGTGTAGTGGACAGTTGATGGGAGTGAGCGCTGACATGAATAGCGCTCTGAGTTGTTAAACCATCCAAAATTGGGTGTTAATTAATGTGGGTGTCGAAGGCTTCCCTCAAGTTTCTGGAAGGAGAGAGATGATCACTTGGCACAATGTCCGTACAAAAGTGGAGCCGCACAAGCTCATGACGGGTTACTCTTTTCCTTCGTGCACACAGATGGTCACTCCATGTGGGCCTCGGTTCAGAAAGAGCCGCCTCCTCACGAGCCCGACTACAGCAGCATCGAGCAGCTGTTCTGCCTCCCGGTGGCCGAACACAAAGACAAGGGGGCAGCTGCTCCTGTCAAGAAGGAGCCTAAAGAGGTGTGCTTGGTCAGCTCTCGACGGTGCTCCTCGGAGCAGAAACACTCAGAAAAACACTGCTAATAAGCAGAGGCGAACAATCACTAATCCTGTTTTTGTTCTCTTACACCCCCCTTCTCCACCCACCTTTTTATAGATCACGTTCATCGACCCAAAGAAAAGCTTGAACGTGAATATATTCCTCAAGCAGTTCAAATGGTGAGATATCAAACACATTTTTGTGATTTGATGCGTTTTGCTCGTGTTTCTACCTTTTACGTTCTCTCCGTCCAGCACAAACGAGGAGTTTGTGGGCATGATCCAGAGTGGGGATCGGACTCGGTTTGACGTGGAGGTGCTAAAACAGCTGCTTAAGCTCCTGCCAGAGAAGCATGAGGTTTGTGCTGCCAACATCCTTACCTCGAGTGTTTTTATCTGCCAGTTAAGGCCCTGCTTGAGAATGATGGTGCTTTGTCTGAGTCAGTGCTTTGTGTTTTCACGTAGATGGAGAATCTGAAGTCCTACCAGGGAGAGAAAGACAAGCTGGCAAACGTCGATCGCTTCTACACCGCTCTCCTTACTGTGCCGTGGTAACACCCCCCCCCTTCTTTTAAGTTTATTTCTGCTTTAAGTGTTGCTTGCGTGGCTGCCGTGTGCGTGACTTCTCTTCTCGCTCTTCTCTTCAGTTATCAGTTGAGGATTGAGTGCATGCTTTTGTGCGAGGAAACTGCATCAGTGTTGGAGATGCTCAAACCTAAAGTCAAGCTTATGGAGGAGGCCTGCCACTGTAAGTAAACCTTAGTCCCTCACCTGTGTTCGCATGCATTCAGCTATAATTCTTAAGGGAGGGGTTCACCTTAAAATCAGTTTTCTGGCTTTTCATCAGTGTATCTGTTGAACTCTTGACTCCAATGAAAGCACATGGCACTTGCCTTGAGGATATTCAAAGCAGAAAATGTTGGATTTGTGCAACTGCAACGTCTCTTTCCAGAAATCATGATGCAGCTACTCAAAAAACAAAACCAAATCCATAATTCTTATTTTGAGCAGTTTTGTGTGGGAACTATTTTCTCTCTTTACCGAGCCATCTACACCTGGAAGGGTGTCTGGCTCTGCATTCTCCGAATCATGCTGGCTTTTTGCACAATGTGTGTTTTATTGAGCACTTCTAGCCACCACATCCATCTCCGAGGTGGCTTGAAGCCAAGTGAGACAGAGCGAAGCCCACGATCCTCCGCCAGGAAAAGGGTGGAGCTGAGCTATCGTCTCATGTGGAGGAGTTCACGTATTTACAGGTTTAGTTCGTGAGTGGAGGAGTGCAGGATTGGCAAATGGATTTGCTGCACGATATGTGGTGATGCGGGCAGTGTGTTAGTCTGTTATGGTGAAGAAAGAGCTGAGTGTGAAGGCGAAGCTGTCAGCTTGATTAGTCCATCCGCATCATGTTGTCATGACTGAGCACTGTTTGTACAGGTGAGGAACGTAGTCATCCGCGTTCACTCCTCCACAGCCAGCTGAGGTGAGTGGGTGTCTGACTACGATGCTATCCGGTCGCCTCCTAGGTGAAGACGTTTTGGGCATATCCAACAGGGAGAAAGCCCGGGACACACTGGAGACATTATGTGTCTCAGCTGGCTTGGGAGTGCCTCAGGAAGAGGATAAGGCAGTGGTTTGGGGAGGAAGGAAATTGAGTAGATGGATGAATATATCCACCAGCTTAATGCGAGTAGATGGCATTACAGCCCAGGTGAGAGGAGTATCATTAATGTTTACGTCCTGTTATCTGTCACAGGCGCATGCTTCACGTGGGGATGGATGTGGGCTTCCTTCTGTTCAGTGATGACGATGCATTCACTTAAGCAAGAAAAAAGTTCCTGCACAACGAAGCTTGTCTATTTGCTAAATAACTGGGACATCATTTATGAAAATGGCACAACAGGCCTGATTGTGGAAAAATAAGGAAATTTGATTAAGGGTGAACTTTGTTTTAATTGGCTAGCTTAAAATATGTCTTATATGTTAACACAATGTCCCTGGTTTCCCAGCTCTTAGAACGAGCACGCTCATGCCCAGTTTTTGCAGGCTCATCCTCGACGTGGGAAATTTTCTCAACTATGTAAGAACCTCATCCCTCATTTCTCCGTCAGTTGAGCTGACATTTAGACAGTTTGCATTTTTAATCACTGGTCCACTTTCAGGGAAGTCACACTGGGAACGCCGAGGGCTTCAAGATTAGCTCCCTGCTCAAGCTCACAGAAACCAAGGCCAACAAGAGCCGCATTACGCTGCTTCATCACATCCTGGAGGTACGCAAACCGGCCGGCAGCTACTGCAGTGTCTTTTGGGGTTTTTTCTCCTCAGTCATGAAATTGTTTAATCACCCATTGCATGGCTTGTTTTGCAAAGGAAGCAGAGGCAAACCACCCAGAGCTGTTGGCTCTACCGGATGAAATAGCCATATGTGAAAAGGCAGCAGGGTATGGAAATCTTTCATGCAAACTTAAAGTCTTAATTTTTTTTTCTTCAACTCTTTTGTCAAAGATTTCTAACACTTGGCGCTTGTCACCCTTGCTCCTCAGAATTAACCTGGACTCTGTTCAGTCAGAAGCCAGTGCGTTACTCAAACGGCTGAATGAGACAGCCAAGAAAGTCTCCAACTCTGCGGAGGAGGTGAAGGAGCAGTATGCAAAAGTTCTCGAGGTAAAACGTCAATCTTTGCTTTTTCTCCAAATGGCTGCAAAACTGCATAACTCGGCACTGTTTTCTTGGCGGCTGGATCCACATCCCAAATGCTTCTCTCTCTCTGCTGCAGGCAAATCTGGAGTTGTTCGGAGAATTAAACGAGAGATTCGCCGTGATTGAGACGAAAAAGGGTGAACTGGCTGTCTATTTATGTGAAGATGCCAATCAGCTGTCACTGGAGGAACTCTTCGGTACCATCAGGACTTTCCGAGGACTCTTCATCAAGGCGCTGAAGGTCAGAGAGGCCGCTTTGGTTGATGTCAAGCATTATGAGACAATCGTGTGTGTGTGTGTGTGTGTGTGTGTGTGTGTGTGTGTGTGTGTACACTTGGCACTGTTAAATCTTCCTCTTGTGTGTGGGAGGTAGTGTTTTGTTTGTAACATTTGTATCAATAAACTGTGGAAAACTAAGACATGTTAATATGCTACGGCCCAAATGACACAAAGACAAACTGCTATGTACATTTTGTACTTGCGAGATAGTGAAATCCTTCCTTAATGATAACAGGAAAACAAAACTCGGACAGAACAGGCGGCCAAGGCTGAGAAGAGAAAGAAGCAGCTGGCAGAGGAAGAGTCCAAGAGACAGAAAGGAGAGAATGGGAAAATAAGTAAGTTGTGAAGAGCGCTGTGTTCTTCTACTGTACTAGAAAATTCTGAACAAGATGTGATGTGACTATCGTGTTTCCCATGTCCTCTTTGTGCCCTTCTTTTTAGTCAAGAAAGGTTTTGTGCCGCAGAACGACGGCTGCATCATAGAAAACCTCCTGGCGGACATCAGAAAAGGTTTCAGCCTCAGAAAGACCCGGCCAAGGTGCGATTCGGAAAGCCTCCCTTCTAGTGAAATGCGTAGGGATACCTGCCCACATGGTAAGGATACGAGGCCGTGGTCTCCATCCGCAGTTCCTAGCTCCGCTCCTGATCCGCTTAAATGCGAGCCACAAAACTGCCTTGTTGGATTATTTGTGCTTCTGCACCGCCTCCCGTCTCGCTAAGTTGGCGCCATTGCTTTTTGTTTGTTTTTTGCTTTGTGGAGCCCATGTGAGCATTTCTTTTTATGGAGAGCCTCTAGTCGTCCTGTCTCATTGCTCGCTGCAGAACATCCCCTAACTTCAGATGTTAATTCTGTTAACTGATCGGCTGTTCTGTCCCCCAGGATCAAGTGCGAAGTCTGTAGGCGAAGAAGCCGTCGACATGGCCACCATTTCCGCTCCTACCGCGTCTCGGACAGAGGGTCGCCACAACAGCACGGGCGAGGTGAACGGCTTTATAAGCCCGTCAGAAGAGACTCTGCCGGCTCCTCAGCTGAATGCAGTGCACGACGGCACAGCCGCACCTCCAAGCACACTCCCAGGAAAGACAGCTCCAGCGGCACTCCTGGGAAGACCTACATCTCTGCAGCCAGAGAAAGATGCAGCATCACCCATAGATGTGACTCAAGCTCAGTCTCAGGTTAAAGGGGACCACCAACCATGCCTCCCCACAAATGGCTTTTCACTAGATTCAGCAGAGACCAGCGTCATCAGTCCTTCATCCCTCTCAGACTCTGACCTGCTGGAGGCTACGTTTGACGACACACCCAGCCCGGCCCCCGAGCAGCCAACGGATCTTAGCGTAAACGTTCATGTCAAAGAAATTCCAAGTACGGACACAAAGCGGAGCATGGAAAGCGATATTATGGGAGAGGGGAAAGGAGAAACTACTAATAAACCAAGCCATTTACCAGAGACTGTAGGGCAAGAGAAGTGGCACGAGGAGACCGCGTACACGGGGGCGAAAACGTCTGGCCAAGACGAGGTCGATAGTTGCAAACTTGCAGACCCCAAAAAGAGCCTGATTACGCTCGATGAAGGCATCGTGCAATGCGACGTCCAAGATGCACTGGAACCAGAAGATCTGGCATCTGTGTCCGAAGCCCTTAAGCCAGACCCAAAGAAACAGATGAAGCTCTTTAAACGAAACAAAAAGAAGAGTAACCAAGGTAACCTATCCATTCACTTCAATAAAGGCCATCTCTGGAATGCTAGTCTCTTGACGTTTCTTAAAGCGAATCCTCTGTTAGTGTTTTTATTCCATTTAACATTTTATATCTTATGTATGGGCTATTTTACTATATGTGCATAAATATTTTACATGAATCTTTTAAATTAAACAGTATGAGTGCAGCATTTGTCTTGAAGATTGAATACTGAATGGATGTTTTAAAACCTGTGGTCCCTTTTTGTTTGAATGTTCTGTTTTCCGTTCTGAAACACAAGGTAACAGTGGGAAAGGACACACTAAACATAAAACAGGCTGTGTGTTGCAGTGAGGTAGGTCAAGTCGATGGGATGGCAAACCGTAAGCCGGAAATTAACTCACTCATCGTCAGAGCTTTTGTTCCAAATAACACGTCATCTGTTGGTCTAACCGGAATCTGGATCTCATTTGTCTGTGTTGTCCGACTTTTAACACACGGCCGTCTCTCTTAACGCTCTCCCAGTTTAGCTGGTTGTCGGGCTAAACTCTTGGGGTTTGTGATATCTGTTAAACTTGAGCCGGGGGGCAAAATAAAAGTATTGTCTTGTGCAATAATAAATCATCTTTAATTAGTGGTTAATCTACTGAAATTAAGTTTTCTGATCTCAAACAGCCTCGCCGTTTGTGGAGTCTCTGTGAAGCCATTGTGGACAGTTATTTCATGAAAGCTGTCACTTTTGTGTCCTCTTCTTCTTCCTCCATATATTCTTGTCCATTCTCTGAATCTGCAACGATTTAACCTGCTAACAGTCTCATGTGCTTCTTGTAAACTGTTTTGTTAATTAAACTTTAATTAAACATACTGTACATGATATAAAATGTATTAAAAAAATTAACTCAAACTCTGGGCATCTCTAAGCCAATAATAGTGTTTGCAAGCAAAGCGCCTCTCTGCCAAGGGCCTTTGAGCCGGCAGTGTCGCTTACAGAAATAACTGTGAAAGGTATTAAAGTACACGCTTTCATTCGCACTATTGATTGGAGCATTTGTTCTCTCTAGGTGACTCCAGAAAAAGAAAATCGAGAGGGAAAAGAAAATGCTGACTTCCGAGCAGGAGTTGAGAACAGTTTATTTTATTGGGATTCCATAATGTTGATTGGAGGATGTGGAAGTCTTCTGTGAAGCCTCATCCTGACCAAGAAGAGCGACCACATCTGAGGCTGGGATTTATTTTTTTCTTCAATAAATGTTTATTTCTATAGCACCTTTCAAGACAGAATCACAAAGTGCTGCACATAAGATTACAAGTCATAAAAAGAGAAAATAAAACGGGCAAAAAATTAACCAAAAGCAGTTTTAAAAAGATGAGTTTTGAGTTGTTTTTTAAAACCGCGACTGAGTCTGCAGTTAATGTTTGGGGAAGAGAGTGCCACAGTGGCAAAAGCTCTATCAGCCTTAGTTCTCCTCTTAGTTTTCACGTTACCGAGTCACTTTATGTAAACTGGAGGGTTTTTGTGTTTGAGGGGGAGGAAAAAGCTAAATGTTCTTTATGTTTGTGTAATTGTTGTAATATGCAGTGAATGTGTTTTTGCTATAAGCTTTGTTTATGTACCCATAAAAAGATGCAGTGTTTGGTTTGAGATATTGAATCAATTATAAAATAATACAAATCTTATGTCTTAATTTCTTTGTTAATCAAATGATCTGCGACAGGATATATGCGTATAAAGGAGAGCGAGAATGGACTGTAACTTTTAATGTTGGGTATATTTTAATAAAATTGAAGATACTGTTCGTCTGTTCTGTTTTTGATCGTCTGATTCGCATAGATGGCGGTATTGAGGCAATCTGAATCGGTTAGAGAAGCCTCAAAAAGTCATGTTTAAGCAATTCCACCTTCGTGACGGTTGTGTAAAAACTGTTATCTCGGTGCTTCAGCAGCTTTGGGGGTGATTTGTTTGAGCACAGCTACGTACTTCTGTGCGTCTGGCTCTGACATCATCGGATATGCGGTTACACATATGGCAATGCTGCTCTTGGAGACAGTTGGGTCTTCTTGAGGCGGACAGGCTCAAGGCAACACCATCATGTCGCTCAGCTGGTCGGGGAAAGACCAAAAAAACGCAAATCAACCCGCTGCCACCGGGCAGAAGCGACCGCGTAATGACGCGGGGAACAAAGTGACCGTGGTGCTCGGTGCGCAATGGGGAGATGAGGGGAAAGGGAAGGTCGTGGATTTACTGGCTACCGAAGCTGACATTGTCTGCAGATGTCAGGTAAACGTGTGGATTGGATTTGACTGTGAGTGGTGCTGCTGAGTATTTTTGCATGAATTCGTGATCTCACGATAAATTCTGTGACTTGCTGGCGCCTGGTAATGTGCAACAGGTGCGAAAGCGAAAACACTCGCACCTCCGGTATATTTAACGCGAGTGTAGCTGTGGATATTTTCCCCACTACAATAAAGCGACGTGTTTATATTTGTGACGAATTTCAAATATGCAATAGGCAGCTGTGACAGCTCAAAACGAATGTCTTAAATACTGTCAGGCATCATGAATAAGTGCACTTTTTCGAAACCCTGACTACTCTTTTAATGCTTGTAATCGACCTAACACCTCGGGTAAATTTCCTCTGACTGACTCTTTCTGGTTGCATTAAATCATCAATAAAAACAGGTCCAGACAGGTCAGTCTGTGACCCGGCCTTGCATAAGACACATAACGGTCAAGAGGTCTCTTCAGCTCCAGCAGGCACGGAGAAGGCTGTCAACAGCCTGCAGTGTTGTACTACTGACAGGACTAGAACCCTGTGTTCTGAAGGCTTGAGAGCCCAACCCACCGGGCTCCAGGGGTCACATTCTCAGGCTGACATGATACATGAGAAGGCCAGGTCTTATCCAGGGGGGAACAGAGTGGAGGATCCACCAGCAACAGCCAAGTCTGTTAGTTAAAATAGATGCTCGAAAAGCTCAGGAAAGAGGGCACTTATCACTCATCATAAAAATCAGACGGGGCATGTTAGTGTGGCTAAAAGTGATGAGGTGGCCTTGGGTCTTTGATTGTATGTCTTGCTCATTGCCAGTTACTATAATTATTAATAATAAACATTCTTTGATCCATAGGGCGGGAATAATGCAGGACACACAGTGGTGGTGGATGGGAAGGAGTACGACTTCCACCTTCTCCCCAGTGGGATCATTAACCCCAAAAGCATATCTCTTATTGGTAAAGGCTTCAATTTCTATTATTTACAGAGATGCACTATTATTCAAATATTTACCCTCACTTGCTTTTTCCCTTCATCTTCTAGGTAATGGAGTAGTTATACATCTACCTGGTTTGTTTGAAGAAGGGGATAAAAATGACAAGAAAGGTATTTTTAGCAGAAATGAGTGAAACTAGTGTGGACTCAAATTAGCATGTAATCATGTGATTTCTATTCTCTGACCAGGTCTGAAAGGCTGGGAGAAGAGACTCATTGTCTCAGACAGAGCTCACCTCGGTACATCTATGAAGATGTTCTTGTTTCCATGTTTAAATATATATATATATAGCCCGTTTAATTCATCTCTTCAAGGTTGCATCTTATCGATCGTTTTTTCTGTCTCTCCACAGTGTTCGATTTCCACCAGGTTGTTGATGGCTTACAGGAAACTGAAAGACAAGCGCAAGAAGGAAAGAAGTAAGGGTAGCGATAGTGAGGAGGGCAGGACACCATTCAGAGTCAGCCTGACCCTTTCCCAAAGAACGCAACACGATAATTTATTGAATACAACACTGATCTCACACATTGTTTTACGTAATAGCATTGGAACTACCAAGAAGGGCATTGGACCTGCATACTCCAGCAAAGCATCTCGCACTGGTCTACGCGTATGTGATCTCCTGGGTGACTTCAAGGACTTCTCTACTAGGTAGGCATGGTGTGTAAAACTCAGGCAGAGGAGTCAAATCCATTTGTATACAGTGATATGTCATGGGTAACACCTCTGGTAAATCTCTTTAGATTCAAGAATCTCGTCCAACAGTATCAGTCCATGTATCCATCCTTGACGGTTGACGTTGAGGACCAGCTGAAAAAACTAAAGGTAGAAACTGATAAGAGCGATGTTATTGAGTGACTGTCTGTTATTGTTTCCAGCACTGAGACATATCTCTGTTTTCTTGCTTCATGGAGGAATTCGCTGAGAGATTGCGGCCGATGGTTAGAGACGGTGTTTATTATATGTACGAAGCTCTTCATGGCCCCCCTAAGAAAATTCTGGTTGAAGGGGCCAATGCTGCTCTGCTTGACATCGACTTTGGTAGGAGCCATAGCAATAGTTTTGTTGTTTTGCTTTTTTTTTCACTTTACTTTGGATATGGGTGATGAAAAGGGAAGAAATCGCTGCTGCTGTAATATACAAAATTGTCTCTCTAGGAACATATCCTTTTGTGACATCATCAAACTGCACCGTGGGAGGAGCATGCACCGGTCTCGGCATCCCTCCGATGAATATTGGTGACGTGTTTGGCGTCGCGAAGGCCTACACGACCAGAGTCGGCATTGGAGCCTTCCCCACCGAACAGCTCAATGTGAGTGCCTGGTATCGCAGCAGCACTTGGCAAATCTTGTCACGCGTTTGGCTTTTGGCCTTCACGGTCTGTGTATTGTAAAAAGAGACACATGACATGTTATGTAACACGCAGATATTCAGCTTGACATATACAGTTTGTTTGTGATCCCCCAGCTGACACACAGGCAGCACGGCTGGCAGGCCTGTGTGTGAAGGGGGGGGGGGGGGGTATTCTCACTGAGTGCAGCTGTCAAATTTTGTGAGAGACGGCTCTTTACCTCTTTTCCAGATCACATGTTCGCAGGGATAAATTTAGGGTCAGACTCTTAGTTAAGGATATATTTACTGTGTGTGCTGGGGTTAATGTTACCTGTAACGGGAACAGGCCATAGGGACTAAGGTCAAGATGTTCAAAGGGCATCCTCCAACTCGTGATGTTTTATTGTACTCGGCTGTGTGTACTTCAGGTGTACTTAATAATATGCATGTATTTTTATTTATTTATTTATTTTAGATCTTTAGGATCATAACAGACAGAGATGTTTATTTCTTGCTTATTTCTGTAGGCAATAGGAGAGCTGCTGCAGACGAGGGGTCACGAAGTGGGTGTGACCACGGGAAGGAAGCGACGTTGCGGCTGGCTGGATCTGGTCATCGTCAGATATGCTCACATGATTAATGGTTTCACTGCGTGAGTGATTAGGACTGGTGCTCATCTGCTGCTTTGTGGTTTTTGTGTTTTATCCCACGAGCATGCCATTTTCCTGCACCGTCACACAGCCTGACACTGATTAACCGCACATGTTAAATGTGACATCTATCCAACAGCATTGCTTTGACAAAACTTGACATTCTGGATGTGCTGGATGAAATTAAAGTTGGAGTTGCCTACAAACTCAACGGGAAGAGGATTCCCCACTTTCCAGGTTGTGGAAAAGAGTAAACGATTTCCCTAATTTGATGGTCTTTGTTTAGGACTGACTGATTAAAGAGTTGGTAATAACTGGTTTCTTTTCAACACAAAGCCAACATGGACGTTTTGCAGAAAGTGGAGGTTGAATATGAGACCTTCCCAGGTTGGAAGACAGACACTTCAGCAGCTAGGAAGTGGAATGACCTCCCAGTCAAGGCACAAAACTACATCCGCTTCATTGAGAACCACATTGGAGTTCCGAGTACGTGTGAGAGAAAATAACACTCGTGTATCTCAATATAAATTTTCTCACACATAACCAAAACTCTTTGTGCTCTTTTCTCTCTTCTTAGTCAAGTGGGTTGGCGTTGGAAAGTCCAGAGAGTGCATGATCCAGATGTTTTAAGTCTTTATCCCACCCCCTTCCCTTGATGGAAGCGCTGGCAGTGTGTCATGTTGAAGCATGTTTCTCCAAGTTACCTTCACTTCATTATATAATAAACAAACATATAAGCTTTGATCCACGCTAACTGTGTTTGTTGTGTTGTAGTTAAATATCCCACTGTTTTTGTGAGTCAAAATATTGGATTTATAAATACATTTATAGCCATATCGCAAATCAAAAACGTGGATGTGTTTCCATGATCCAATAAAGAAAACGTTTTATGATAATCTGATTTCTGGAGCCCAGTCTTGCTGTTTTCAAAAATTGATATAATTGTCTATATATTACTAATTTACTGTTAGCTGAGTCCATTGGGACTGTATTGACTCCATCACAAAGATAAATTAATTTATACATT